CCCCCGCCCCACGCGCTTTTTGCCACAAGGCGCCTGCCACTGCTGGGCATTCCCATGTCTTGATCTGCATTGGATTGATGCACCTGCTGTGAAGGAGCGGTTGCTGTTTTGCCCACGGCACGGAGCGATCGTGGAGCTGTGTGTGGCCGCCCGCTTGCCCGCCCTTGCTCTGGGTGCCCTCTCCCAGCTTTCCAAAGGCTGCGCTCCTCAATTGCCGGTGCTTTCCCCCACAGAACCTGGACAATGCCACCACATATGATGCCGAGAAGCAGATCGGACTCAACGTGCTCATGGCGGCGGCGGTGCGTGCGCGGGCGCCGACGCAAGAGAGGATGCAAGCTGCTGTCCTCTCCTATCCCTTGAGCTTCACTGACCCCTGATGTCGTGTCTGCATCCCACCTCTCCTGAATGAGGGCGGCGGGGGGGCAGGGGGGCTAGCGCCAAGCAGCTGAGCCAATGTTTTCTGCGAATGGGCGATTCTGACTACTTTGCGTGCACGCAAGCGACAGGAGTCGTTGAGTCCGAACCAATCCAACTCTTGCAGTTTCCTCCCGCGCCACAACTGCAGGCGCACCTCAACCTGGCCAGCAAGCCCACCTCCAGCAACAAGTGCATGGTGACGCCCCAGATCAGCGGCCTCATGAACGGCGACGCGCTGCGCGCGCTGAGGGCGGCCGGCCTGGAGTGCGCGACGGGCGACAACACGTGGGAGCACCTGAAGAACCAGCAGCACCCATACCAGATGCTGTACTCCAACGCGGTGAGCGATTGTGACCTGAGTGATGAGCGTGCCAGGAAGCGTTCTAGGTGCTTCAAAGCGCCGGCAGCCAGCGAGCAGCTAGAACGCCCGCACGGACTGACCTGGCTGACAGCTGAGCATTTGCATCTGGATGTTGCAGATTCTGGGTGAGCCGTAGGTTGACCTGCGCACACGCACTTCCGCAGGCAAGGAATGGCTACGATGGCTTCGCCTTCCTGCCGCGCTTTGCCACTGGTGAGCGGTGCGGGCCCACCCGAGCAGGGGGTGTAGACGCCGGCAGACAGGCTGTTGCACCGGCAGTGGTGCGTCTTGCATCCTGTTTATTGCGGTGCGGACCCGTGTTTGGGCGAGCAAATGGCGCAGGCCAATTGACCGCCCATGTTTTGATTTCTGCAACATCAACCGCTTCTTCGACCCCTGCTGGATCCATCCATAATCCTGGAGGAAAAGGGCGTGTTTGATGGAGCACCCCGCCGGGAGAAAATAAAATCACCACCCACACCATACGTGCGACTGCGAATCCCTCCAAGCCTGGACCCGTTCCGTACTTACTGCTGGCCCCAACCTCCTCTTACCCCTGCAGAGATCTACTACAATTGCACCAACGCCGCCCAGATCGAGCGCTTGTACAACAACCTTTACCAGCCTTACTACGGGTCCTACTCGACCATCGCTGACATCATCAAGCGCGAGGCGGTGCGGGTAGTGAGGGAGGGGCTGCTCGCCCTCAAGCACGACCCATACATGATGCACCAGGCCAACCTGGCCGTCGACTCCACAGGGTGAGTGGCTGGGTAAGGCAGTTGGGGTTGGGTGCGTGTGCATGGTGTCCATGCATGTGAGCCGGTGCGGGGGTGTGCAGGCAAATGAGGAAGAACGGAACTGTCCAAGGTCCGGGGACGTTCTCAATCATGCGTGTGAGTCCGGCCACCCCTGACGGGTCGAGCCTTGGAGGCCCAAGTTGATCCCATTGAACGCCTTCCCCCCCTTGCACACACATGCACACACACCACTGCCACTATTCTCCCCCTCCAGGCAAAGCCTGGCTATGCGCTGGATCACCGGGGTCCTTAATGAGTTCCACGCCCTAGTCAACTGGCCTGTGCAGTCCAAAAAGGTGCGCCTGGGCTGCACCTCCGCTGCCAGACGTCACGGCCTTGGCTGTCGCCCTGCCGCTACGCGTACGGCGTGCCCCATCAGAGGGGGGACCCTTGGCCTTGCCATCTGCTTGGATGGAGCACCGTTTGCCCTCCGAGTGGTTCTTCCATCCCCACCCCACACATATAGACTCTTTAACAACATCAATACACCGTCTCGTGACACAATCACAAATCGCCTGCAGCCACCCATACCCATTCAGAAATACACGCACAAATGCGCGCGCACGCACGCACGCGTGCATGCACACACACACACACACACACACACACACACACACACACACACACACACACGCACACACGCACACGCGCGCACACACCACATGCCCCCAAAAACCGCAGCTTGATGATCTCTACGCCATCTTCAAGGAGCGAGAGGCACGCGACGCCTGCAAGCTCTCCTACAAAATTGAGATTGCACCCAACAAGCAGGTGCGGGCTGGCTTGGCGCATCCGCCTTACATTGCCACAGGTGCTGGCCACTCAGGTTGCCCTGTGCCCTCCCAGCGGACAAGCCCTGCTGGGTTCAATGAGGTACGTCCCGCCACTTGACAAGGCAGCTAAGCCCAGGCGCGATTACCAGTCCTGCCATCTGATCAGCCCGCCAAGCCCTGCTGCCGGCCCTCCCGCAACAACCACACTATCGCAGGTGCAAGCCGTGACTATCACCAGCGGCGGCGGCGCGTGCGACGCCCCGCTCACGGTCCCCGCCACAACGACCGCCAGCGCGGGGGCCGCCCAGAGGATCGGCAACGACGCGCCGGCCTACAAGATCCCGCTTGCGGCTGGCGGAAGCGCAAGGGTCACCCTCTCGGGCGGCCCGACCTGGAGCCTCCCGTGAGGGGCCGGCGGCAGGTGGCGCTCTCCGGCGCATGTGCGGAGCTGCCGGGTTTGGCGGTGCTCAGCAGTTGCTGAGGTGCAGGCCAAGCCTTGGGTGTGGCGCCGCTTCTGCTGGCGACCAGCGGGGAGGCGTGTCCCACACGGAGGGCGCAATAAGAATAACAAACAACATCGTCATCATCATCGTCATCATCAATAAATCGTGCCTGGCGACAGCCTGGCTACGCAGGCGGTAGCTTTGCCCGCGCTCTCACACACTGCGCTCTGTCCTGGGCAGCATGCATCTGCACCCTGCGCCCCACGACGCAAGAAGACGCGGGGCCGGTTTCTAACCGCTGCGCGCCGCCTGTTGCAGCTCGGCGCCCGCAGGCCATGAATGGGACTGTGCCAGAGGCGCCCATCGCAGCACTCGCACCCCTGCAGTGCGGAAGGGCGACCATGATACGCGCACAAATTCAGCTGTGCTCTGAGCTCCTGGAGCAGCCCACGATCTCGTACCACTTGGCAACACTGTCTTTGTGCTTGCGCGTCGCCCGTACTTGCGGACTTCACTTTGTTTTGGGCTGCCCCAGCACAAAACCAAACCTCACGCGCCAGCCGCGGGCCTGCTGCGCTTGCCTACAAATCACCGGTGCGGCTTCGATTGGCAGACGCGCAGTCACGCAGCTTTAATCTGCCGCACCCACGCGCCACTCACAGCACGGCGCGCGGACACACAGGGAGACTTCTTTTTGGGCTACTTCATCTGCAGGTCACACGTCCTGCTATTGACTGCTTTGGGCATTTGCACTTTCAGGACGATCCGAGCGGCAAAGGGGAGCTGCCCCGCCGCCCGCTGCGCTGTGGGGGTCCGTTGCCTTCAGGGTGGGGGTCCGTCAAGCTTCTCCAGCACGCGGCACGGACCACAGAGTGAAACCGCCGACCAGGCAGTGTGTGGGCAGGCGTACCCAGTGGCGCGGGCGCACGCCGCGCCACGGCGCCGCGCCTTCCTTCCGCCGTGGGTTGACTCCTGCTGAACCTTGAGGAGATGACGTGGCGCCTCCAGCTGCCACAGAGCGGCAGATGATTGCGCTTTGCTGTCGTGCCAGGCTATTTCATTTTGAATGATTTCCATGGGATAGTGTGCGATCTGGTCTGCAGCCGCACATGGGAGCGCGCCCGCCCTCCGCTTGGCGCTGCGGAGCGCCTTGCCGACATCCCTTACACGGGCGGGCGCCCACGCTGCTGTGCCCGGCACTGTGCCCGGCACGGCAAACGGATCGATGCTGCGCCTTGCAGCCAACGCTCTGCAACCACTCCCGTTTGTCCACTACTTGTGACTATCACCCAACTCCCTGGTGGTCAGCACAGCTTGCAGTGACTTGACAGCACCTGCGCCGCCTGTTTGCTGCTTGCAGCGGGTGCGGTGCAGTGTTCACACCGCAGTGTTGTTGCACGTTGGTTGTCCACGCACTTAATTTCTGTTTCACATCACGGCACAGCTCTGTTCATCTGTCTTGATCAGCCTTGCCAAAATTATTCAGGATCCCACACATGCTCCAAGGTAGCACCCCCACTCTGGATGTTGGCTTGGATCTGCGCGTGCACGTGGTCAATCCTGTGTCAGCATATCCAAAACTTCTGAGGTGAGCACAAATTTTTCTGTAACTTCACATGGCCGCTGTACGAGGTTGTAACTGCCGTATCCACATGCTTCGTGGTGCCTGCTGGAGGCAACAAGAGCCCCCCTGCATAACTTGTGACCCGCCAAAACTGGCGCATCTCGCCCAGATACAGGGCAATCACTGGGCTGCATAATGCAAAATCGAAATATACCCTTGCACTTGTCAAATGGCGAGGGGGGGGCCAGAGGAGATAGCGCACGCGGCGGGGTCGAGCAGGGGCGGGCTGCTTGACATCATGAGATGTGCAAGCAGAAGCACACAGATCACGTGCCAACCAGGACCGCGCCCTGCAGCTGGTGCAAATAAAAAATGAATATATGATAGTGTATACGGTGATCGCACACCATCGTCCAGTGTGTATTCATTACGGCCCTACGGCGTGTATCGCGCAAGCTGGCCCAAAAGTTGGACAATGTCCAATAAAATACAAAGCTTATAGGCGTTCCATCCAACGGTGCCTGGTGGCGCGCCAGGTCAACACAGTGCACAACAGCAGTCAAGCAGCGCACGCTGCGCTGATGTGCCGCTGCTGCGTTCACACATAGCTTTCCAAGCGAACCCGCAGGAGCCCAGCGCTCTGTACGGCCCTTGTTTGTGCTTGGGATCGCAGAGCGTCGGGCGCTGCAGCAGGAAGAGCGTCACTTTCTTTGGCTTTCTGCGGTAAGGATGCAGCTGCAGCTGCGACATGTGAAGGGCTTCAAGTAAGTGCATCCTAGACTTGCAGTAGGTTTTTCCGCATGCACGCATCTCACGCGCCCAGATTCTGCATCTGCCACAGCCCAGGATGCAACCCCAGATTGCAAGGACATGTGGCAGTCCGCACCACCAAGGATACCCGAGCGTGCTGAACTGGCCGTTTCCACCCCCCCCCCCAAACACGCCGCCACCACCGCAGCGGCAGACTCCGCGGTGGCAGCGTGCAGGCGCACCCAACCCAGCCGGGATGCTTTTTCTACGCCGCGTCCAGCGGCATCGTGGCCGTTTATGATGTGCGTGAGCAGCTGGGTGGACATTGGGGGTAGGGGGTGCTTTCAGGGGTGATTCGACTTCTAGCTGCCCGCCTGATGGCACACTATAACAGCCAGCAAGCAGGGAGCCAGTAGGCCAAAACGTACAAGAGCAGCAGCGCACAAGCCAGTACAGAAAGCGCTCCTACAATGTGGAAGCCTGTCCCCCCATGCGTGCTTATGACCAGCAGCCGCCCCTTGCAGCACTCCCTTGTACCAACACGTGACTGCCCGACACAGTGTCCCCAATGCCACACGATGCACGCGCGCAGTCCAATCCGACGCACCAGCTGCAGTTGAGGGGTCACGACGGGGAGATATCTGCGTTTGCCCTATCGGTGCGCGGGCGCTGCGTGACGTGGCTGGGGGATCACGGATGATGCTGCTACTGCCGAGGCCGGCCCGGGCTCTGCACGGCTTGCAGCGCACGAATGTGTGCCTCACAACGGGGCGGCAACCATGCCCTGAATTCCCTCACGTGCTTTGAGGAGGCAGACGCGCTCATACGTTGGACGTTTCAGATGCACTTGACAGCGGGGCGCCCTCCTGCTTCGTTACCCCTACATCTCCTCTCACATGAATCGCCTCACTGGCCTGTGTCGCTTGCCCGCAGCACAACGGCGCCATGCTGGCATCCGCCCAGCGCGGCTTCAACTGCGATGTGGTGGTCTGGGACACGGCGCGGCTGGCGCAGCGCAGCCGCTTCCAGGAGCACGACATCGAGGTGGCCTGCGATGAAGGGGGGGGAGCATGGCGAAGGCTGTGGGGGGACGGATGGGGGTGCAGCTGCTCGGCCCGTTTCTGGGGGGGCTTTTACCCGTTTCTGGGGGTTCAGGCGATTGGACAGCCGCTGCACCCCCATTTCAAAGCCTGTACCCATCCACACACCAGCCTGCCCCGAACGCTGCAGCATGCGGAAGCAGAGAGCGAGGGTGTGACGGCAGACCTGAGATAGGCCCTGCTTGTCTACATTCTGCCCCACCCCCAAGACATGCGCTTGCACACAACACAACCCATGCACACACGTGCGTGACCACGCACCCACGCACACATGCCGCCCCCGCGCGCACGCACACACGCACATAATCCAACAAAAAATCAAAGGTCGTGGCGGTCGGATTCTCGGCTGACGATCGGCTGCTGGCCACCATCGGATGCGAGACGTGAGCTGCGCGTCGGCCGGCGGCGCCTTGAACCACGCCCTTGCGTGCCTGGAGGTTTGCTGCCATCTTTGGCATTGGACGGCAGCCGACCAATCGAGAGGGGACGGCCCCTCTCCAGTTTGTCAGCCTGTGCACCGAATCCACCCTCACCGCCGCACCCCCCCCTCCCGGCCCGCCCCTCAAAACAGGGAGCGGCGCGTATTTGTGCTGGACACCGCCACGGGCAAGATTGTGACCACCTCGAAGCTCCCAGAGGACACCCCAGTGAGCAAAGGCGGGGAACGCAGCTGTGTTGTGCACACACGTGCGTGCTGCAGCGTTTGCTTGCGTGACTGCCAAGCCCGCCCAGCACTCAAAAGCTGCCAGGATCATCGGCCCAAACCAGAGCAAGCTGCAGAGCAGAAACGGCACGTTTAAGCATATCGTTGAACTTCAAGACTCGATTGCGCCGTACGCCCACCTCCCCAACGCGCCACCCTTTGCCTGCATGCGCCAACCTGCAATTCTTTATTACAGCGCGTCGCAGCGCTGGCGTGGTCCCCGGCTAAGGGCCCCTGCTATGAGTTTGCGACCGCGGCAGGCCACCATGTGTATCTGTGGACTGTCGACCCTTTCAAGGTGGGAACCTGCCAAGCAACTGCCGAGAACGACCGCCCACGGGCTCGCTTCCAAGTGGTTGAGGAACCCGGGCGGCGGCCCTGCATTCAAGTGGCGCTGCAGCGGGGGCTTAGCGCTTTGCTCGTCTGTTTGGTCTGCACGCTCGGCTGGAATGCCATTGTGGCGCAGCGCAGCCCCTGGGGACGGCTTTAACAACAGCAGCAGTTGTGTATTTTTCTGGATGCACGGGCTCGGCACTTCCCCTCATCGTAGCGTGCCCACCGCGCGCGCGCTTGATTCAGGGATTCATCAGCCACGACCGGATCACGCCAGGCAGCGTGCGTAGGTGCGCAGGGCTGTCTGCCACCGTGCGTTGCAGGGTGGGTGGATCAAACACACCAATCAAACACATGATTGGTATGCGCGCACGCACGCATGCCAGACAAGAGCTTGCTGGCAATGTCCCTGCTGCCAAGCACGCGTCTCACAATTTCAACACCACCTCCACGCTCAACCTGCCAATACTCTATTCATGGATCCCAGGATTATATCGACCCTCACATACTCCGCTGATGGCGCCTGGCTATTTGCTGGAACTGAAAGCGGGGATGTCATCACCATCAATGTGGCACGGCGGGCGATGCAGGTTGGTCTATCTGTTGCGCGGCCGGGCAGCACTCGCGCTGAGCCGCCCCAGAGGCAGGCCGACGTCGCTTGCGTACTTGGCTAACGGATGCCAACCAGGGCAAGAGAGCCTCTTTGCACCCTGCCCTGCCTTCTGTCTGGCTGCCTGAATTCCGTCAACTGCGTCTGCGAGGGCGCTCGGGCTTGCTTCCTCTCACATGGCGACCCCCTCGCTGCGGGCGCCAATGCAGCTGATGCACCCGGTCGCGTCCGGCGGCATCGGCTTCACAGGCCTGGCGCCCGGCGGGAAGCTGCTGGTCGGCGCCGGCGACGGCACCCTGAACCTCTTCGACTTCCAGCAGGCGGCCCACTCCGCTCCGCCGCTGGCTGTCGTGCCCGGCGCGATCAGCGCGGCCAGCCCGGTGGCAGGGGTCCCGGGCCGGCTGCTGGTGGGGACGCAGCAAGGCGGCATATACTGGTGGGCAGCCGCTGGCAGAAGTGGGGTCAGTGCGGGTGGGATGCCCCGTGAGCCCCGCGTTGCCTGCTGCCAGCGGCACCTGTGGATCCAGACTAGCATGCTTGTGGGAGCGTTGTGGATTGCAGAGTGTGCCTTTGCATTACAGCCTCCTGCGAACCCCACCCACACGAGACGCTGGTCATTGAGATATATACCCTCGGACCCTGCGTACCCTCAGGGTGGACATGGTGCTCGGGAGTGGTGGCGGCAGCGGCCGGCCGTCGACGACGACGGGCTTGGCAGCCGGCACGTGCGCCTGCACGACATACGAGCACTCGCAGCAGGGGGCGCTGACGGGGCTCGCCTATTCCACAACCGGCGACGCAATTGCGACCTCCAGCGCGGACGGGACGGTCTGCGTCTGGGGCGCGGCGGTGAGCGGACGCGTCTTTGAGGGTGTGCACCCGTAACGTCGAGGCAGGCTGCAAAGGGACGGCCTGGGCGACGGAGCGGCACGGGAGATGCATGCGTTTCGAGATCCAATGAAATCCCTTAATGAATTGCTGTGTGTCTAGGGAAGTGGGGATTCCTCAATAGTGGGTGGCCTTTCCGTGCGGGTGCCCGCAGGACTTCCAGCTGAAGGCGCGGGCCGCCGACCCTAGGGCCGGCGAGGCGCAGAGCGTGGCGTTGTCCAAGGACTGGGTCGTCTCAGGCTGGGCCGACGGCACTGTGCGCTGCCATGCGCTAACCCCCTCCGGGACCATCGGCCCGACACCTTTCCCGGGCGCCGGCGGCACCACCATTGGCGGCCGCATGTCCCCAGCAGCCGGCGGCCGGGTTTCCCCGGCGTTGGGCGTCTCTGCCGCTGCGCATGCCAGCGCGGCGGGTGCAGCCGGCGCCGCGGCGGTGCCGCTGGTTTGGAGCATCCCCGCGGCGCACCAGACGCCCCAGGCGTGCGGGGCAACTGCTGTGCAGCTGTCCAACCGCGGCCACTTCCTAGCCAGCGGCGGCGCGAGCGGGGAGGTGCGGGTGTGGGACGCGGCAAGCAGGGAGCTGGCGAGCCACTTGAAACACCACAGCCAGGCCATCACAGACATCAAGGTGCGCGAGCGCGCGCATGTGTGTGTGTGTGTGCGTGTGTGTGTGTGTGTGTGTGTGCGCGCGTGCGCGTGGGTGTGCGTGTGTGTTGTGCACGCGCGCGCATGTGTATGTGTGTGTGTGGGAGAGGGGGGGGGGTGGTCGAGCAAGATTCATCGGCCTTCTGGATATGGAGCACGGCGCATGCATTATTGTGGCACGCACCCACACCTACCCCCGCACTGATACCGAGGCAGACACAGCGATTCGATAAGGCCATGATTTCCCCACAACGCGCGCAACAAGCAGACGACATCACCGACGACCGCCCGCTCACACACCCGAGCGCCGCGCGCCGTCCCCCGCCCGCCGCGCCCCCACACCCTTGCCGGCAGGTGATGCAGGACGACGTGCACCTGCTGTGCGCCAGCGAGGACAGGGCGTGGTCTGTGTGGGACATCACCCAGGAGAAGCTTTGCTCGGTCCAGCACGCGCCCATGGGCGCGGTGCGCGGCGTGGCCATGGCGCCGGACCAGGTTGGTGTGTGGCGGTTTCATGGACGTCCGGCTCCAGCCCGGCCAGGGTCTCCGTCGAGCGATGGGGTCTGCAAAGCTTGTGACCAAACCTTTGTGTTGGTGGTGCACACAGGAGCACCCATCTGGGCCTTGCAGCAGTGTCAGCAGGCTGTGCCAACCACACTCACGTCAACCACACGCACCCATTTCGCAGCTTTCAACACACCAACCCTCGAAATCATCTCAAGTACTCATGCAATCGCTCCCTAATCTTGCCACCCATATATTCACCCGACCACCCTGCCAGGTCAGCGTTGCGACCGTCGGCATGGACCGAGCCATCACTGTTTGGGACCTCCGCCAGGTCAGCAAGCCTGCCATGAAAATCCCAGACGCCCACCAAGCAGAGGTCACCGCGGTCGCCTGGCACCCAGGCGGCGCCGTCATTGCCAGCGGCGGCGCCGACGCCGCCGTTCGCACGTGGGACTTGCGCGGCGGCGGCCGGGCGGCGGGGAGCTTCGCGGGGCACGCTGGGGCAGTGGCGGAGATGGCGTTCGGGCCGGACGGGAACCAGCTGGCGAGCGCGGGCGCGGACGGCTGTCTGGTCCAGTGGCGGGTGGGATGATGGCCGGGGGCAGCATGGCGGCGCGGGGAGCTTGTGCCTCGCTTTGATCAATTTGGAGGGCAGGGGTCCCTGGCAGGCGCATTCGTTGCGCCCGCGCTGCGCGGCGAATGGCGGTACAGAAAGTGAATGAAGCGGGCCACACGGGAATGTAAGGCAGTGACATTACCCTGATGCCTGACGGCGTGCTGGATTTGGTGCTTGAAGGCCCGTGGCGAAGGAGGGGGGGGGCTGCATCACCCGCCACCGCAAGGGCCTCGCAGTGTTGAGTCAGCAGCAACGAGCAGTCACAACCCGAGCCCGATCAGCTCTTGCTGCTGGTTGGCAATGCCGTGCCGAATTCCTAGCACCTTCTCGTCTATCATCGCCGGTTGCTAAGCTTGATAGCACCGTAACAACCAGCGTCTGACACACTGCTGATCTGCATGTGCAGCCCCCTTACAAGCCCGCCAGTTCCAGACGCAACTTACCTCCATAACTTTGCTCTGGCATCACCCTGGCGCGGAGTCACCCGCGGTCACCCTGGAAAGCAGGTAGCGGAGTCGGTCGCCGCGGACAATGCGCGCAAGTGGCTCGAAAGCAGCCAATCCAGCCGTGCATCAAGAAATAGGAGGCGGCTGCGGGGCGGCGTGCTGGTGGGCGGCGTCAAGAATGGCGAAGAAGCAGCCACACTCTTCAGTCAGGGTCAGCAGCAGCGCAGTGGTGTCCCCGCGAACCGCGCTGGTTCTCCTGCTGATGCTTACCTGCTGCTCAGGAGCTGCGTGGGCTCAAGGTGCGCGAGCACGCCCCCACGTTGGGGCTCCGCCGTGCATGATGTCAGCTGACTCGCGCATGCTTCAATGGCGGTGCCCTCACACCACATCCTGTCTACGATCCCGCTGGGAGTTCACTCAACTTATTGCAAGGCATGAAAGTGTAGCCTCCGAAGTGTGTCCGAGATACAACCTAGACTTACACTGGCACGTTGGCCTCGCTACCCCCACCCTGCTTGGCTTGGTGGGCTACCGCAGGTGGCAGCTCGCCGGCGAACGCCACCTCCCCAGCCGTGAACGCGACGTCCACGGCTGCCAACGCCACTGATCAGGCGCCAGCTGTCCCCTCGCCGCCCCTCGTGGCCAACACCAGCGTTGAGGCAAACGCGAGCATACTTGCAGCGAATGTAAGCGGCAGTGGACCCAACATCACCACTGCAATGGGCAACTTGCCCAGCAGCAGCGGCAACAGCAACAGCAGCGGCAACAGCAGCATCACCAGCAGCGGCAATATCACCAGCGGCAGTAACAGCAGCAGCAACAGCAGCAGCAGTAACAATATCACGAGCAGCGGCAACAGCAGCAGCAGCAGCGGCGCTGCTTCGGGCGACGCCTCTGCTGATAGCGACAATGGCGGCAGCAGCAGCGGCATCAGCGGTGCAGGGGACGAGGGCGTCGCGCCTTGGAATGTTACCATCGGCGTCAACGCCACTGCGGTGAACCTGACGTTTGATGACTACTTCAAGTGGAACGCGACAGATCTGGGCGGGATCCCCCTGCGGCCGGAGGCTCTCGCTGAGTACGGGGGGCTTGCCTGGTCCAATACATATGTGAGAGCGAGGCTGCGTGCATGCATGCGTGCCTGAGTGCATACTGGTGTATGTGCGCGGTCATGTGTGTGTGTGTGTGTGTGTGTGTTTATGTGTGCGGTTGTGTGCATCCGTGTGTTTGGGGCATGTGTTCATCTTAGCTGGGCACATGACCTTTCAGGGTTGGCCTCAGGGCAGCGCGGCTGGCAAGGCCAACGGGGATCTGTGCACCATCCTCATGTGTGCACCGGCTTCCTCTGCCGCGCCCACCCCTGATAGATCTTCAGCACGCTGTCTGTATCCAAGGGCGTGGCCACAGCCTCGAACAGCAGCTCCGGCATTGCAGCTTCCCCTGCCACAACCAACAGCAGCAGCAACAGCAGCCGCAGCAGCAACAGCACCAGCAACAACACCACCACCAGCAACAGCAGCAGCAGCAGCAGCAGCAGCAGCAGCAGCAGCAGCAGCAGCAAGACCAGCAGCGGCATAACGGTCAGCACGGGGGCGCTGAGAGGGGTTGTCAATGCACCCAACGCCGTGGTTTTTCCTACGACGGACGAGGGTTCAGCAGTTGTGCCAGCCGGAGACTCTTGGGGTGCGGCGTTCGCACCCCTGTCCGCCTGGGTGACGTACACACACGACTGGTCTGACGCTAACAGGTGAGACCGGCAATCGGGGTTTTTGGGGAGGGTCCAGAAGGCTGCGCAAGAAGGTCCTGGCGTGAGCGGATGCATGGCGTTGTTGGCACAAGCAGACACATGGCGGTATTCTTGTAGCCCAACTCGCTCTCCTGTCCGGCACACGCGCGCGCCGCCACAGATCGTCAGTCAACGTGGTGTTGACCGGGTTCGACTTCCGACGAAGCGATGCGTACGCTGGTCTGATCGACGTCAAGCTGCAGCTTGGACAACCTAGGCTGGTGCGTGCGCTTTGGGCGAGGCACGACTGTGTGCAAACGGCTTGACTTGCTGCCTACACTCAGTATCGTCCCAGTACTGATTTCCAGCAGGGCTACTGCGACTGTTGGTATCAAATCGCGGCCAGTACCGCTCGCAGCATCAGCGGCTGCCACGGCATCGCTGCCATGGCACCCATCCGTCCAACTCCACTCCCAGCTTGCTTGCAGCCAAGAAGCGTCACTCCCCCACCTCCCGCCCCTGCCGCACGTGCGCTCTCTGGCCGGGCCCAGGTCAACTTCTCCGCGTCTTTCAAGGCGGGCGTTCAGCGGCTGACCATCCGCCCAGATCCCCAGGCAGAGGTCACCTTGGACAACCTTCGCATACTCTTGTCCAACAACTCTTCGCTGAGGCGGGCCAACACGTCATCCGCAGCAACAGGGAACGGCACGAGCACAGCCAACTCCACCAACGCGACTGCGCCTGCCACAAGCCCTGTCTCGAGCGGCGCTGGAACCGCCGCCGTCGCCTTGCAGCCGGCGCCGGTGCCCGCGCCTGTGGCGCCGGTGCCGGCGCCTGTGGCGCCGGTCGTGACCCCCGCGCCAATCATCCCGGCCGCCCCGGCAGCGCCCACAGTGCCCGCTGCCAATGTGGCGGTGCCGCCTGTCGTGACGCCGGGTGCAGGCGGGGCACAGCAGCCGCCGCCAGCGGAAGCACAGCCACTGACCCCGCAGCAGCCACCACCCGGCGCGCAGCCCCTGCCGCAGCCGCCGCAGCAGGCGCTGCCGGCGCCGCAGCAGCCGCAGCCAGCGCAGCCGGGGACCGTCGGCGACGTGCTGCCTTCCGTCCCACCGTCGGCAACCAACGCGGCCGCAGGCGCCCAGCCTGACTCGACCGCGGCCGCATCCTCGCCTGCGGCCAAGCCAAAGCGCCGCCGCCGAAGGCCATCGCCATCGCCTGTTTTCGCTTTCTCGGCGCCGCCGACGGGCAGGCGTGAGTCCCCGCTGTGTCTGTCGCGGCTTTGCCCTATCAACTTGTTGCCCCATGTTTGCGCTGCCGCGGCATGCTGTTTGAAGCGTCAGAGCCCAATCAGCCCCTTTGTCTCTTCAACGCGTGCAACCACCCTGCACCCTCGCTGCACACCTGCGCCCTAACCTCTGTTTCAACCCAACACCTCCTCTTACAGTCGTTACGCTGACGTTTGATGACATCACACCTGGGGCCTCTGGGGAGTCTCCCTTGGCAGCCTACCGCGACTTTTCCTTTTCCGGCGCGCTCGCCGTCACCGCCGCCGCGCTGCCCGCCGTGCTGCAGACCGGCATCAACTCCCAGCCCGTCGCGCTCACCAACGCCCCTGCGCTGCCGGGCCGCGGGGACGGCTCCCTCGCTTTCACGGCGCCGCCAGGCGGCGCAGGGTTTGCGCCGGTGTCCGTGATCATGACCCAAGATCTCGACGCCGCCCTCGCCGGCACGCTGGGGCTGACCCCCGGCGGCGAAGGCACAGTTTTTGTCACCTGCTTCGACGCGGCCGGCGCGCGGCTCGGCCGCGGCGCCGCGCGGCTGCCGGCGGGGCAGGCGAACAGGGTGTCTTTCCCTCCAGAGTGCAGGGGCGCGGCGCGCGTCGTGATCGCGCCCGTGATCAGCAGCACGCGGGTGGTGATCGATGATCTGGAGTACTACGATCTGGGCGCGCGGCGGCGGTGATTTGATGTGCCGAGTGGCCAGGATTTTTGTTGGTCCGATCAGTGTACTGCATGGCCGCACAAGGAATAGGCAGCTGCCGCGTGCCTTTGGGTGCATGCGCCCGGCCGATTTGTCTTGCGTGAGCGGAACCTCAAGGATACCGAGACTGGCGCTGCCGGCGCGCATGTTGCAAGGCTGTGAGTCGTCGTTTTGTTTCGTGTCTTGCTGAGTGTTGGGGGCGGGGGCAACAAGATTGCTTTGCACACGCGACACTGGTACCACTGTGGGGGAACTCAGAAGCCAATAATTGGCTGGCTGTGACATCGCTTGCGCAGCCTTAGAGCTGCCATACTACCTAATTTATTATGGAAGGAGTGCAAACCTTGAACGTTTGGGGTGCTTGCCGGCCTGCTGACGGGCCGCAGTCATGCAGTCGTGCGCGCAAGGCGCCCGGCATGGCTCCCGCTCGCAGCTCTTGCCGCTTGACAGCGCACCACACCGCCTCACTTACGGCTGCGCGGCATCCTGAATTGACAACTTCACGGCCCTGGTGTGCGCATTCGACCGCCGCGACCGAAGTTCAGTGTCCACTTGCATGGTCGCTGTTGTGTGTTAGTCATTTAAGGAGCACCTACAAGGCATTCGGGTTCGCCATGGCCCGAGTGTTGTAAGTGACCCATCCACCTGCGCACCACAACGCCAGCTACCACAGCAGCTATGAGTGTGGGGCAGGGACGGATCTTCCCTGTACTTTTACGGTTGCATCTCGCGTGCCTTTCGGCACACATGGGGCGGGAGGCACCTGAAACACGACCGTGAAATCACAGTCACAGAGCGAGTGGCTGTGCAGGTCACCCTCGCTTGGCCCGCTTTGTCCTGGGAAAGTGGGGCTGGAGCCCGGTGGTGCAGTTTGCCGCAGGCATGGGGTCGCTGCCCGGTAACTGCAAGCTGCCCCAGGGCTGAGCGTCATGCCTGCAGCACCTTAGCCTTGCATCACATCCCTTCAGCGCCACTGTTCTCTTGTGCTGCCTCTGCCGCTGGCGCCAGTCGTGCGGGCGGTCATTTCACCAGATGCTGCCCGCCGCCAGGCCTGCAAGCAACACCCTCTCTTCCGAACCACTTTCACATGCCAACCTTGCGGCTGTGTGCCCCAGGCTTTGAGGGGTGAAGCCCAAGCGGCGAAAACGGGAGGGGCAGAACAATGCAATGACAAGCCTGCGCAGGTAGCCCGTCCACCAGCTTGTACGGGGGTTGGAACATAATGTCAGGGTCATAACAATACTAGTATGTGCAAGTGGCGGTTGGGCCTGAAGGCATGCGGGCCAGACTTCATCACTCCACAACACACTGGTCATCCAAGAGACCCTG